AGTTCTTCATTCTATTATATCAGACGTTGATTAACTAGACGAAGAGCCTCCAACTCATTATTTGCGTGGGGATTCCCCATGAGGGGATTTGCCCTTGGGACATTTTCAGGCTGTCTATCGTTGGTGGCTTCCTATTGTTATTGCATCCGTGGTAGATTGGTCTGGCTTCTGCTCATGTTTTGGGTTGAAACCATCAGTCATTGAAGGATCAGCGTATTTGTAGCATGAACAATCGTTCTCACAGACGGCACCAAACTGATGGTGTAAATCAACGTGGATGAGCAAAAGGTGCAGGTGACGTATGATGAGTGTGGATCAGAGCTACAGGGCTCATATGTGATGCGGTTGTGAAACAATGAAAGGATTAAAGGGGTGCACACATTGAAAAATATAGTGGTTCACTGGCTCAGGAGCTCGGCTAATCCACTCTTCAATGGAGGCTCTCGCTCCCTCTCCTCTATTCACTACTCAAATGTATTTCAATACCGTATGTCATGTAATTAGGGTTTTTCTTTTTTAATCCCTTCTTCTATTGAAGTGTTACATAGTATTTATAGGACTATTTCCTATTCTGTAGGATCTCAGCCGAGATCTTTGCCTACCATTAGTGGGATTCTCCTTGATTTTAGGATAGGATCTTGGTTGGTTGAGAGTTTCATGCTTGGAACCCAATTTTGCAGTTATCCAATTGTTCCCTGGTCAGTTCCAATATCCTCTCCCCAGGGGGAGCTCTGGCTCTGGACTTCTGAGCTCCTCGTATCATTTCTGACCTCCTGAGCTGACCTCGTTTCCTGAACTCGCTCTTATAACTTCTTTGAGGTATCATCACCATCGACCCTTATTACTCATTCAGACAAGCTGGACATGTAATTATTAAGCCTGCAACTGATTATCCACCTCCAGGTGCTCATATCGAACTCACACTAAGATGGCGACAGTTATATGACAAACGTTGTGACCTTGAAAATCTGGTTCATTGGCATGGAATTACGGTACCAATGACACGTTCGACTAATATTTGCAATTCACATAATTCAAATAATCATGACGAGGTCATATCAAGGCTTGAACGTGAAAATGATCAAATGCAGTATTGTCTTGATCGTTTCCATGCACTCAATTATGTAAAAATATAACATTTTGATCCTGAATATGCTGAAATTAAAATTTTAGGGAATCAATTATTTATTTTTGATTCTGAACTTTCTGATTTCTCTGATTTGGATGATGATGCGTCTGACATTTTTATCTCATCATGTTTATGTGTACTCGATCCTTTATATTGTTTGAATATCAACTACGTTATTGACATCTTTTTTTTTTCATGTATACGTTCTGAATAACTTATATTTTTTCACAACTTAATAAATATTAATATCGACATGATCAACATTAAAAATAAAATTTTATTTTTATTTTATTTATGCGTTTAAAATTATATGATAAAATTAAAATTAATTATATATATATACGTTTTCAATTTTTAAATTTAGATATGTTAAAAAATATAAGTATTTTAAAATAATTAAAATTTATTTATTGAATGTAATTAAATTTTTAAATAAATAAAAAATCACTCATCCTTATTGTTAGGGAGCAAAACCTCAATAGGACAAATGAAATTTATGTATTTTTAATTTATCAAAATTTATTTATTGAATATATTTTTAATAAATAAATATTAAACATTTTACTCATAAAAAAAGAGGAAGGAAAACCATCACTAAAAAGGTCAATCCAACTTACGTTTTTTAAAGTTTGTTATACTGGTTGTGATCTTAGCTTAAAACATTAATTAGTCTGATTTTTTAAGTTAAACACGTCACATCAACTGGCGTTTTTAAAAATCATTGAGTTTAAGAATTACTTTTAAATCAACCTTTTTTTAGAATTTTTTTTTTCAAAATCACTTGAACTGGGGTAAAAGCTCCTTTAAAGTAAAGAAAGTGCTAGGTTAGAATTAGGAGTCCACCTAAGAAATATCAAAAATACCCTTCATTTTTTTCACTTTAACAATATATTCATTTCATTGTATTATCTCTGCATTTAACAACTCATAATTCTCAGAATCATTTAGATTTATTTATATTAGTATCTTTTTATTTATTCTTTCTTTCATTTTATCTGCACGCGGGTTATGTATAATTTGCACTTTTGTAGTACGAAGGATATGCTGCATATCGATGTTATTTGGATTTAAAAAAAATGGTATAATTTATTGACATAATGATGTGATTTAATAGGAATTATTAGATCATATCAAATTCTAATGTTTGACGGAGTCCATAGTAAATTCAAATACCACAATAAATTAGATTANTATGTGATGCGGTTGTGAAACAATGAAAGGATTAAAGGGGTGCACACATTGAAAAATATAGTGGTTCACTGGCTCAGGAGCTCGGCTAATCCACTCTTCAATGGAGGCTCTCGCTCCCTCTCCTTTATTCACTACTCAAATGTATTTTAATACCGTATGTCATGTAATTAGGGTTTTTCTTTTTTAATCCCTTCTTCTATTGAAGTGTTACATAGTATTTATAGGACTATTTCCTATTCTGTAGGATCTCAGCNCCATCAGTCATTGAAGGATCAGCGTATTTGTAGCAGGAACAATCGTTCTCACAGACGGCACCAAACTGATGGTGTAAATCAACGTGGATGAGCAAAAGGTGCAGGTGACGTATGATGAGTGTGGATCAGAGCTACAGGGCTCATATGTGATGCGGTTGTGAAACAATGAAAGGATTAAAGGGGTGCACACATTGAAAAATATAGTGGTTCACTGGCTCAGGAGCTCGGCTAATCCACTCTTCAATGGAGGCTCTCGCTCCCTCTCCTCTATTCACTACTCAAATGTATTTTAATACCGTATGTCATGTAATTAGGGTTTTTCTTTTTTAATCCCTTCTTCTATTGAAGTGTTACATAGTATTTATAGGACTATTTCCTATTCTGCAGGATCTCAACCGAGATCTTTGCCTACCATTAGTGGGATTCTCCTTGATTTTAGGATAGGATCTTGGTTGGTTGAGAGTTTCATGCTTGGAACCCAATTTTGCAGTTATCCAATTGTTCCCTGGTCAGTTCCGATATCCTCTCCCCAGGGGGAGCTCTGGCTCTGGACTTCTGAGCTCCTCGTATCATTTCTGACCTCCTGAGCTGACCTCGTTTCCTGAACTCGCTCTTATAACTTCTTTGAGGTATCATCACCATCGACCCTTATTACTCATTCAGACAAGCTGGACATGTAATTGTTAAGCCTGCAACTGATTATCCACCTCCAGGTGCTCATATCGAACTCACACTAAGATGGCGACAGTTATATGACAAACGTTGTGACCTTGAAAATCTGGTTCATTGGCATGGAATTACGGTACCAAAGGCACGTTCGACTAATATTTGCAATTCACATAATTCAAATAATCATGACGAGGTCATATCAAGGCTTGAACGTGAAAATGATCAAATGCAGTATTGTCTTGATCGTTTCCATGCACTCAATTATGTAAAAATATAACATTTTGATCCTGAATATGCTGAAATTAAAATTTTAGGGAATCAATTATTTATTTTTGATTCTGAACTTTCTGATTTCTCTGATTTGGATGATGATGCGTCTGACATTTTTATCTCATCATGTTTATGTGTACTCGATCCTTTATATTGTTTGAATATCAACTACGTTATTGACATCTTTTTTTTTTCATGTATACGTTCTGAATAACTTATATTTTTTCACAACTTAATAAATATTAATATCGACATGATCAACATTAAAAATAAAATTTTATTTTTATTTTATTTATGCGTTTAAAATTATATGATAAAATTAAAATTAATTATATATATACGTTTTCAATTTTTAAATTTAGATATGTTAAAAAATATAAGTATTTTAAAATAATTAAAATTTATTTATTGAATGTAATTAAATTTTTAAATAAATAAAAAATCACTCATCCTTATTGTTAGGGAGCAAAACCTCAATAGGACAAATGAAATTTATGTATTTTTAATTTATCAAAATTTATTTATTGAATATATTTTTAATAAATAAATATTAAACATTTTACTCATAAAAAAAGAGGAAGGAAAACCATCACTAAAAAGGTCAATCCAACTTACGTTTTTTAAAGTTTGTTATACCTGGTTGTGATCTTAGCTTAAAACATTAATTAGTCTGATTTTTTAAGTTAAACACGTCACATCAACTGACGTTTTTAAAAATCATTGAGTTTAAGAATTACTTTTAAATCAACCTTTTTTTAGAATTTTTTTTTTCAAAATCACTTGAACTGGGGTAAAAGCTCCTTTAAAGTAAAGAAAGTGCTAGGTTAGAATTAGGAGTCCACCTAAGAAATATCAAAAATACCCTTCATTTTTTTCACTTTAACAATATATTCATTTCATTGTATTATCTCTGCATTTAACAACTCATAATTCTCAGAATCATTTAGATTTATTTATATTAGTATCTTTTTATTTATTCTTTCTTTCATTTTATCTGCACGCGGGTTATGTATAATTTGCACTTTTGTAGTACGAAGGATATGCTGCATATCGATGTTATTTGGATTTAAAAAAAATGGTATAATTTATTGACATAATGATGTGATTTAATAGGAATTATTAGATCATATCAAATTCTAATGTTTGACGGAGTCCATAGTAAATTCAAATACCACAATAAATTAGATTAATAAATTAAATTAATTTTTAGATCCGATGAGCATTGCTATGTGCCGCAATATCAATGGAGAAATTCACATCTACGTGTCTATTCACCTTCTCCCAACTTCTGGATCGGAACCGCACAACGCAATTGAAGTTTCCTTGCTCTTACAGTGAAAGACTTCAATGGTAGACCATTGACTTATCTACATTGACTCCTCCTGTCTCACATGTATTTATCTCATGGCCATTCTCTATTCTTTGTTCCCATCCCACCTCTCTCTCTCTCTCTCTAACTTCTCCTTCTCTACAATTGCTCATCAAGCATGTACTCTTCAAACCCAAATGGTTACCCAAATTTTTCACCAGCTCCACCCCCATTTAAACTAGAACCATATGGTGAAGATGAATCCACAAAGATTGGTGTTCCAGTGAACTCTAAAGATCAATCTTACTCTGATCAGTCCCAAGAGCCGACTCCTGTTGAAAACAGACCTCGGGTTGATTGGTCCACCGGCCTCTGTGACTGCCTATCTGACTGGCGAAACTGTGAGTCCATCGTCTCGAAAAAATGATCTTGTTTTGGGTTGAACTTGAATAGCAGGTGTTGAATAAATATTGAAATCTTTGGGGTGGTTTGATTTGAAGTCAAAGGGCTCATGTTTTTCTTTTGTTTTTTCTTCTTGTCCTTTCCACAGGTTGCATAACTTGCTGGTGTCCATGCGTGACTTTTGGAAAGATCGCAGAGATTGTAGACAAAGGGTCTAGTTGTAAGTTGTCTTCTCCATCAACAGACTGTATGATTATCTTGGGTTTTTTTATCCTATCTCAAGATAGAGCAAGCAATTAATCCTAATGGTGGGTTAGGCAATATGACGGTCCTCTGTCTGTTCCGTATCGCGTCTAATTTGTATTGTATCTAAAAAAAAATTAACTCAAACTCGATAGCTTAATTTATGTTGTGTCGGATTTATTTGATTAATAAATCGTATTTAGTGAATTCGTGTTTCATTTAATTGGGTTCATTTCAAGTCTATTACTGACGATGTTATCGGGTCTATCTATTTATCACTTAAATTGTTAAAACTAATCTTAAATCCGCTAATTTTGTATTGTGTTAACAAGTTGGGTCCATAATTACCAGTGTTATGAAGANTGTAGCTCTGGCCATAGAGGACCTAAGCGATCTCTAACATCTCCCCTCCTTTTGGGGGAGCGATTTCTATCCCTTCTTGGAGACCTATCACGCCCTCTTTCTCTTCTGGGACTTTGGTCCATTTTCCTTTCCTCTTTCCCTTTGTCTTTTTGCGTAGATGAACTTCCCACTTTTGAGAGAAGGGCTTCTTCACCGTTTATGTATTTTTCTGCCTTAGCCAATACCTCAGTCATCCTTGCCTTAGAATTTTTTCAAATAAAGAACATTAGATCTTCGGATTGTACGCCCAGACCAGCTATAAATGCTATAATGGCAAACTTCTCATCTGGGACATCCACTTTCAGTGACTTCGAGTTGAATCGCTGGACATAAGATCTAAGGTTCTCTTGGGGTCCTTGTTTCACGTTCAATAAGTGGTAACTCGGCTTCTGGTATATCCGAGCTCCTATGTAGTGAGATACGAAAGATATAGAAAGCTCTTTAAAGGAGGAGATTGAGGCCGAGGGGAGCCTATTGAACCATGTCAGGGCTGATCCTTTCAGCGTGATAGAGAAGGCCCTGCGGCACACTGGGTCCTGGTATCCGTGGAGCTCCATCTGGTTTTTATAAGTATTTAGGTGATCCATGGGATCATTTGTCCCATCAAAAGTTTCTAGCTGCGGCATTCTAAGTTTTGGGGGGAGGGAAAAATATAACACGCCTGCCGTGAATGGCAACTCTGTTTGATGTACCAGGGCATCCATCGTAACTGGAATCTTGTTCTTCACAGGTTCCTTCATATGACTGAGCTCTTGCTGGATGCTATTAAAGCGCTACTCCCAGTACTGTTCTCTCCTCTCCTATTGATAGGGGAGAAAATCATTCCTTCCTTCCCTAACATTTTGACTTTGCACCTCTTCGTTGCATCCATTCTTTGGGGGTAGATGAAGATTTTGTCCCCAGGTTTGACTGTTTTTCCTCTCCTTTACCAACTTCTCTGAGGGGGTCGAGATGTTGTTGCTCTCTGTGTAGGGGATTATTCTGGCCTTCTTGGGTCGGTCGTGCCTCCTCAAGGCATTGTAAGAGCTTCAAGAGTTCTTCATTCTATTATATCAGACGTTGATTAACTAGACGAAGAGCCTCCAACTCATTATTTGCGTGGGGATTCCCCATGAGGGGATTTGCCCTTGGGACATTTTCAGGCTGTCTATCGTTGGTGGCTTCCTATTGTTATTGCATCCGTGGTAGATTGGTCTGGCTTCTGCTCATGTTTTGGGTTGAAACCATCAGTCATTGAAGGATCAGCGTATTTGTAGCAGGAACAATCGTTCTCACAGACGGCACCAAACTGATGGTGTAAATCAACGTGGATGAGCAAAAGGTGCAGGTGACGTATGATGAGTGTGGATCAGAGCTACAGGGCTCATATGTGATGCGGTTGTGAAACAATGAAAGGATTAAAGGGGTGCACACATTGAAAAATATAGTGGTTCACTGGCTCAGGAGCTCGGCTAATCCACTCTTCAATGGAGGCTCTCGCTCCCTCTCCTCTATTCACTACTCAAATGTATTTCAATACCGTATGTCATGTAATTAGGGTTTTTCTTTTTTAATCCCTTCTTCTATTGAAGTGTTACATAGTATTTATAGGACTATTTCCTATTCTGTAGGATCTCAGCCGAGATCTTTGCCTACCATTAGTGGGATTCTCCTTGATTTTAGGATAGGATCTTGGTTGGTTGAGAGTTTCATGCTTGGAACCCAATTTTGCAGTTATCCAATTGTTCCCTGGTCAGTTCCAATATCCTCTCCCCAGGGGGAGCTCTGGCTCTGGACTTCTGAGCTCCTCGTATCATTTCTGACCTCCTGAGCTGACCTCGTTTCCTGAACTCGCTCTTATAACTTCTTTGAGGTATCATCACCATCGACCCTTATTACTCATTCAGACAAGCTGGACATGTAATTATTAAGCCTGCAACTGATTATCCACCTCCAGGTGCTCATATCGAACTCACACTAAGATGGCGACAGTTATATGACAAACGTTGTGACCTTGAAAATCTGGTTCATTGGCATGGAATTACGGTACCAATGACACGTTCGACTAATATTTGCAATTCACATAATTCAAATAATCATGACGAGGTCATATCAAGGCTTGAACGTGAAAATGATCAAATGCAGTATTGTCTTGATCGTTTCCATGCACTCAATTATGTAAAAATATAACATTTTGATCCTGAATATGCTGAAATTAAAATTTTAGGGAATCAATTATTTATTTTTGATTCTGAACTTTCTGATTTCTCTGATTTGGATGATGATGCGTCTGACATTTTTATCTCATCATGTTTATGTGTACTCGATCCTTTATATTGTTTGAATATCAACTACGTTATTGACATCTTTTTTTTTTCATGTATACGTTCTGAATAACTTATATTTTTTCACAACTTAATAAATATTAATATCGACATGATCAACATTAAAAATAAAATTTTATTTTTATTTTATTTATGCGTTTAAAATTATATGATAAAATTAAAATTAATTATATATATATACGTTTTCAATTTTTAAATTTAGATATGTTAAAAAATATAAGTATTTTAAAATAATTAAAATTTATTTATTGAATGTAATTAAATTTTTAAATAAATAAAAAATCACTCATCCTTATTGTTAGGGAGCAAAACCTCAATAGGACAAATGAAATTTATGTATTTTTAATTTATCAAAATTTATTTATTGAATATATTTTTAATAAATAAATATTAAACATTTTACTCATAAAAAAAGAGGAAGGAAAACCATCACTAAAAAGGTCAATCCAACTTACGTTTTTTAAAGTTTGTTATACTGGTTGTGATCTTAGCTTAAAACATTAATTAGTCTGATTTTTTAAGTTAAACACGTCACATCAACTGACGTTTTTAAAAATCATTGAGTTTAAGAATTACTTTTAAATCAACCTTTTTTTAGAATTTTTTTTTTCAAAATCACTTGAACTGGGGTAAAAGCTCCTTTAAAGTAAAGAAAGTGCTAGGTTAGAATTAGGAGTCCACCTAAGAAATATCAAAAATACCCTTCATTTTTTTCACTTTAACAATATATTCATTTCATTGTATTATCTCTGCATTTAACAACTCATAATTCTCAGAATCATTTAGATTTATTTATATTAGTATCTTTTTATTTATTCTTTCTTTCATTTTATCTGCACGCGGGTTATGTATAATTTGCACTTTTGTAGTACGAAGGATATGCTGCATATCGATGTTATTTGGATTTAAAAAAAATGGTATAATTTATTGACATAATGATGTGATTTAATAGGAATTATTAGATCATATCAAATTCTAATGTTTGACGGAGTCCATAGTAAATTCAAATACCACAATAAATTAGATTAATAAATTAAATTAATTTTTAGATCCGATGAGCATTGCTATGTGCCGCAATATCAATGGAGAAATTCACATCTACGTGTCTATTCACCTTCTCCCAACTTCTGGATCGGAACCGCACAACGCAATTGAAGTTTCCTTGCTCTTACAGTGAAAGACTTCAATGGTAGACCATTGACTTATCTACATTGACTCCTCCTGTCTCACATGTATTTATCTCATGGCCATTCTCTATTCTTTGTTCCCATCCCACCTCTCTCTCTCTCTCTCTAACTTCTCCTTCTCTACAATTGCTCATCAAGCATGTACTCTTCAAACCCAAATGGTTACCCAAATTTTTCACCAGCTCCACCCCCATTTAAACTAGAACCATATGGTGAAGATGAATCCACAAAGATTGGTGTTCCAGTGAACTCTAAAGATCAATCTTACTCTGATCAGTCCCAAGAGCCGACTCCTGTTGAAAACAGACCTCGGGTTGATTGGTCCACCGGCCTCTGTGACTGCCTATCTGACTGGCGAAACTGTGAGTCCATAGTCTCGAAAAAATGATCTTGTTTTGGGTTGAACTTGAATAGCAGGTGTTGAATAAATATTGAAATCTTTGGGGTGGTTTGATTTGAAGTCAAAGGGCTCATGTTTTTCTTTTGTTTTTTCTTCTTGTCCTTTCCACAGGTTGCATAACTTGCTGGTGTCCATGCGTGACTTTTGGAAAGATCGCAGAGATTGTAGACAAAGGATCTAGTTGTAAGTTGTCTTCTCCATCAACAGACTGTATGATTATCTTGGGTTTTTTTATCCTATCTCAAGATAGAGCAAGCAATTAATCCTAATGGTGGGTTAGGCAATATGACGGTCCTCTGTCTGTTCCGTATCGCGTCTAATTTGTATTGTGTCTAAAAAAAAATTAACTCAAACTCGATAGCTTAATTTATGTTGTGTCGGATTTATTTGATTAATAAATCGTATTTAGTGAATTCGTGTTTCATTTAATTGGGTTCATTTCAAGTCTATTACTGACGATGTTATCGGGTCTATCTATTTATCACTTAAATTGTTAAAACTAATCTTAAATCCGCTAATTTTGTATTGTGTTAACAAGTTGGGTCCATAATTACCAGTGTTATGAAGATTTACTTAGAGTTGTTTTGGTCAATTTATACGCATCTTGATTAATTTTATATCCGGTCAGGTCAAAGGTGAATCATCAATGCAGGAACTATGATATTCATAAAAGATAAATCTCTCATCATTTAACCCGAACAAGTTGTTAAAATTCAAATTCAAGACTTTGAGTTTAAAACTTACCTTTTGAGCTACCGCTCAAGTATATTGTCATTATTTGATTATAGTGTCTCAAATTTGAATTTGGTGTATTTTTATCTAATAAGTATAACGGATTAAGTCTTTAAATTAGATTCAATTTGATTGAGATATTTCTAGTTGTTGGAGATTCATTTGTGTTAAACGTGTGGTGGTGGTTTGTGGTGCAGCCTGTGGACAAAGTGGAGCCCTTTATGCATTGATTTTCTGTGTGGCTGGTTGTCCATGCTTCTACTCATGTTTCTACCGTTCAAAGATGAGGCGTCAGCACAGGTTGCATAAAAGCCCTTGTGGGGATTGCTTGGTCCATTGCTGCTGCGAGCCTTGTGCCTTGTGTCAAGAGTATCGTGAGCTAAACAACCGTGGATTTGCTATGGAAATTGGTACTCTTACTCTCTCTCTCTCTCTCTCTCTCTCACTATTAGGGTCGGTATTGGGTCGTGTTGGATCAAAATAATGGCGTATTATTCAATCTATGTCCCATCCACTGACAATTATATATAACTAAATACGTGTGATGCATTAAATCATATTTAACAGATACGTCTCATTTTAACTGAAGACTGTTGAATGGTGAAAACGTGTCACTTGGGCCAAACCTGTTACTTGTGTGACGTACTTGTTGAATTTTGTGTCTGAAACAATGTATTAGAATATAACACAACAAGAGACATGGAGTGGACATAGGCTTACCTATCGCCCCATGTGATAGTATAGTCAAGACACTATTTCACAATCAACCTCCATAAGTAATATTAAGAACGGTATAAGCAGGTCATTTATTTTATTCGTATCTAATATCTCCCGCTACTTGCCAACAATGTTTACAATGCTATTGAACCCTTATTTATCATTTTTTTTGAAAGGTTTATCTTGAGTTGTTAGATGGCCAAAGCACGTTAGATATAGTTGTTGCCAATGACTCATGTGGCATGGTAACGTTCGGGTTTAACTTTTAATTCGTTTACAATCTGAACTTATTAAAGCTAAACACAAAATATTGTATCAATCTAGTGTCAGGTTTACAGTTCGTGTAAGAAATTGTTGGGTCTACTCACAATTGACCACATCAATCTTTGTTTTTTGTGGTTGATTTTTATGGAGTTTTTCTGGTTTCTTTGAATTGGAGTGTTTAGGATGGCATGGAAATGAGGAGAGGAAAACTCGTGAAATGGAAATGGAACCAATTCCTCCTGTTGTTGAAGAAGGGATGAGCAGATAGACAGGAAGATCTACTTGGCTTGTACTTGTTGACTCATCTATAGCTAGCAAAGACCATATATGGTTTAAGATTAGAGTAATATTATTTAAACTTAAAAGTCTGGCTTAATTCAATGGGTATAGCGAATAATGTCGGTCACTTAGAACGATAAATTATGCCCAAATAGTATTTGCTCTTAAGATTATATGTAAATATATGGATTATTGTTTTGATCCGAAGTCCATTTTTTTCACCTTGGTTAAAATAGAAATACTTCATTAAAATATTTACTGTAGTTAAACAATAGGCGTAGTAAAAATATAATTTACTATGATTAAAAGGTTGAATGAGATAAAAAAATAAGAAAATGTGATTTTTCTTTAGATCCTACCACTGAGTTTTTTTTTTATGGGGTTTCATTGTTAATTTTGTAAGCAACGAATTTTTGTCCTCTTAATTGGTTTTAAAAATGCAAAAGAACGAAAGGGCTCTAGTAATTAAAGGGTAAGAATAAAATTAAAATATAATGAAATTTATGACTTTATTGATGTAAAAAATATAATAGGATTTAATAGATTTTTATGGGAAAAAGAAATATTTATTGGTAATTTTCTCAATATAGAAGAGTAATGTTATTAGGACTTACAAAATCTAACTTAAATTTGCTGACCTAATAATATAGTTTTATTATAGTCATTGAATTAATATCAACTTCTATTGTTGATGGCGTCCACGATCAATTCAATGGCTATAGTAAATTAGGTCAGTAAATTAAATCTCAATAATATTACTCAAATATAAATTATAAGATAAATAAGGCGGATGTAAACAGTTTATGTTGTTATTGTAGTTGTATAAAGCTGAGACAATTTATGTTGTTATTGTATTTGTATAAAGCTAAGGGGTTTCATTTTATTCTATCGATGGGTATCATTAGCTCACCACGTATTCAAGGTTAGGTATGATAATTTTAGACACGACTCGTCAATTATATAAATTAAATGAAAATAGAAAGAATTGTTTTTTTTCAAGGGTTTACAATGTTTGCGAATAGAGCAATGTTATTGGGATTTAATTTATTGACCTAATTTGTTGACCTAATTTACTATGACCTTTGGATTGACTATGGGGCCCATTAAATATTAAAACTTAGTGTTGATTCAATGGTTTTGCTAAAGTCATATTAAGTCAAATTTTTAGATCTAAATAGTATTATTCTTGCAGATAACATTGTCGTCCACACATGAAAAACAAGACGAAGGGCTTCACCCGAAGAAACCTAATATTTTGAGAATTGAATCATAGGTGACCAATGATAATAGACCTAGTCGATTATCTTAAGCTCTCCTAATCGCATCATTAAAAATCTTATTCCTTAAAGATTTTTATATAATAATAGATTATTATATTCTCAAAAAAATTATAATTTTTTATTCTTTAGTTTCTAAGACTATAATATTCTCGAATTTAGTTTTTACTTTCTCCTAATTTTAATTTGTTGGCATAATGATGTAGCTTCATAAGAATTATTAGATTAACACCAAATTTCAATATTTGATGGGATTTACGACTATCCAAAGGTTACAATAAATTAAGTCAACAAATTTTGTTAGTAAATTAAATTCTAATAGCATTATTGTTTAAAAATTGCACATTTTTCTGGTTTAATAGAAGACTATGGGCCTGCGGTTTGNATGACTTTATTGATGTAAAAAATATAATAGGATTTAATAGATTTTTATGGGAAAAAAGAAATATTTATTGGTAATTTTCTCAATATAGAAGAGTAATGTTATTAGGACTTACAAAATCTAACTTAAATTTGTTGACCTAATAATATAGTTTTATTATAGTCATTGAATTAATATCAAGTTCTATTGTTGATGGCGTCCACGATCAATTCAATGGCTATAGTAAATTAGGTCAGTAAATTAAATTAATAAATTAAATCTCAATAATATTACTCAAATATAAATTATAAGATAAATAAGGCGGATGTAAACAGTTTATGTTGTTATTGTAGTTGTATAAAGCTGAGACAATTTATGTTGTTATTGTATTTGTATAAAGCTAAGGGGTTTCATTTTATTCTATCGATGGGTATCATTAGCTCACCACGTATTCAAGGTTAGGTATGATAATTTTAGACACGACTCGTCAATTATATAAATTAAATGAAAATAGAAAGAATTGTTTTTTTTCAAGGGTTTACAATGTTTGCGAATAGAGCAATGCTATTGGGACTTAATTTATTGACCTAATTTGTTGACCTAATTCACTATGACCTTTGGATTGACTATGGGGCCCATTAAATATTAAAATTTAGTGTTGATTCAATGGTTTTGCTAAAGTCATATTAAGTCAAATTTTTAAATCTAAATAGTATTATTCTTGCAGATAACATTGTCGTCCACAAATGAAAAACAAGACGAAGGGCTTCACCCGAAGAAACCTAATATTTTGAGAATTGAATCATAGGTGACCAATGATAATAGACCTAGTTGGTTATCTTAAGCTCTCCTAATCGCATCATTAAAAATCTTATTCCTTAAAGATTTTTATATAATAATAGATTATTATATTCTCAAAAAAATTATAATTTTTTATTCTTTAGTTTCTAAGACTATAATATTCTCGAATTTAGTTTTTACTTTCTCCTAATTTTAATTTGTTGACATAATGATGTAGCTTTATAAGAATTATTAGATTAACACCAAATTTCAATATTTAATGGGATTTACGACTATCCAAAGGTTACAATAAATTAAGTCAACAAATTTTATTAATAAATTAAATTTTAATAGCATTATTGTTTTAAAATTGCACATTTTTCTGGTTTAATAGAAGACTATGGGCCTGTGGTTCGGCCATTGGGCTAGTTTGGGATATTAATTTGTAAAATTACGACCCAAACTAATTTGAACTTTGGAGTCCTCCGGGCCATAGCATGCCATTATTAAGGTGTTGGGCAAAATTATATTCTTTTGAATATTGAAAACCTAGGCCATGGGAATTTGGGTGCAGGCCCATTCATCTCCGACAGTGGCTCAGAAAAAAAAATAAAAAAAATAGAAATTTAATGGAAGTACTTCGCTGCCTGTTTGATTCTTGAAGGGGGTGGGAGAGTCTATGGTACCGCCCATGGAAAAAGTTTTACCACACCGTTAAAATTGTGTGACTGTTAATTTTTTGTTATTAAATATTACTCAAATGTGTGACTGTAAATTTTTTGTCATTAAATATTACTTACTAAGAATGATAATTTTGTTTATAAATATAATAACATTACTTTAAAGAATTGTAAACCCACCTTAAAAGATTGTAACTCACCTCACATCTAGAAGTAGTATTNAAATAGAAAGAATTGTTTTTTTTCAAGGGTTTACAATGTTTGCGAATAGAGCAATGCTATTGGGACTTAATTTATTGACCTAATTTGTTGACCTAATTCACTATGACCTTTGGATTGACTATGGGGCCCATTAAATATTAAAATTTAGTGTTGATTCAATGGTTTTGCTAAAGTCATATTAAGTCAAATTTTTAAATCTAAATAGTATTATTCTTGCAGATAACATTGTCGTCCACAAATGAAAAACAAGACGAAGGGCTTCACCCGAAGAAACCTAATATTTTGAGAATTGAATCATAGGTGACCAATGATAATAGACCTAGTTGGTTATCTTAAGCTCTCCTAATCGCATCATTAAAAATCTTATTCCTTAAAGATTTTTATATAATAATAGATTATTATATTCTCAAAAAAATTATAATTTTTTATTCTTTAGTTTCTAAGACTATAATATTCTCGAATTTAGTTTTTACTTTCTCCTAATTTTAATTTGTTGACATAATGATGTAGCTTTATAAGAATTATTAGATTAACACCAAATTTCAATATTTAATGGGATTTACGACTATCCAAAGGTTACAATAAATTAAGTCAACAAATTTTATTAATAAATTAAATTTTAATAGCATTATTGTTTTAAAATTGCACATTTTTCTGGTTTAATAGAAGACTATGGGCCTGTGGTTCGGCCATTGGGCTAGTTTGGGATATTAATTTGTAAAATTACGACCCAAACTAATTTGAACTTTGGAGTCCTCCGGGCCATAGCATGCCATTATTAAGGTGTTGGGCAAAATTATATTCTTTTGAATATTGAAAACCTAGGCCATGGGAATTTGGGTGCAGGCCCATTCATCTCCGACAGTGGCTCAGAAAAAAAAATAGAAATTTAATGGAAGTACTTCTCTGCCTGTTTGATTCTTGAAGGGGGTGGGAGAGTCTATGGTACCGCCCATGGAAAAAGTTTTACCACACCGTTAAAACTGTGTGACTGTTAATTTTTTGTTATTAAATATTACTCAAATGTGTGACTGTAAATTTTTTGTCTTTAAATATTACTTACTAAGAATGATAATTTTGATTATAAATATAATAACATTACTTTAAAGAATTACAAACCCACCTTAAAAGATTGTAACTCACCTCACATCTAGAAATAATACTTTTACCTTTAATTCTTGTAGCTTAACTTTAAATAGTTATAATTTCGTATCTAAATATAATAATTTTATCATAAATAATTATAACTTCACATCAAAAAATTTTAATCCAATATCTAAAGATGGTAATTTTACCTATATAAAATTTAATTTACTCTCAAATGCTTATAACCTCACCTTCAAAAATAGTAATTTTACTTTCAGTTGTCGTAATATTACCTAAAGAGTTTGTATCNTTTTTTATTCTTTAGTTTCTAAGACTATAATATTCTCGAATTTAGTTTTTACTTTCTCCTAATTTTAATTTGTTGACATAATGATGTAGCTTTATAAGAATTATTAGATTAACACCAAATTTCAATATTTAATGGGATTTACGACTATCCAAAGGTTACAATAAATTAAGTCAACAAATTTTATTAATAAATTAAATTTTAATAGCATTATTGTTTTAAAATTGCACATTTTTCTGGTTTAATAGAAGACTATGGGCCTGTGGTTCGGCCATTGGGCTAGTTTGGGATATTAATTTGTAAAATTACGACCCAAACTAATTTGAACTTTGGAGTCCTCCGGGCCATAGCATGCCATTATTAAGGTGTTGGGCAAAATTATATTCTTTTGAATATTGAAAACCTAGGCCATGGGAATTTGGGTGCAGGCCCATTCATCTCCGACAGTGGCTCAGAAAAAAAAATAGAAATTTAATGGAAGTACTTCTCTGCCTGTTTGATTCTTGAAGGGGGTGGGAGAGTCTATGGTACCGCCCATGGAAAAAGTTTTACCACACCGTTAAAACTGTGTGACTGTTAATTTTTTGTTATTAAATATTACTCAAATGTGTGACTGTAAATTTTTTGTCTTTAAATATTACTTACTAAGAATGATAATTTTGATTATAAATATAATAACATTACTTTAAAGAATTACAAACCCACCTTAAAAGATTGTAACTCACCTCACATCTAGAAATAATACTTTTACCTTTAATTCTTGTAGCTTAACTTTAAATAGTTATAATTTCGTATCTAAATATAATAATTTTATCATAAATAATTATAACTTCACATCAAAAAATTTTAATCCAATATCTAAAGATGGTAATTTTACCTATATAAAATTTAATTTACTCTCAAATGCTTATAACCTCACCTTCAAAAATAGTAATTTTACTTTCAGTTGTCGTAATATTACCTAAAGAGTTTGTATCTCACCTTTA